GAAAATCTAGCATGGAGAACAGTAATCTCTCCCACTTCCTCCAAAGGTTGGAAGGTTGCACTGAAATTGCTTGTACTGTGAAAGCACAACTACCACATGTTTATAAATTCATGAAGACAAAATATGTAAATAAAGCCTGCACTACAAAAAATAGCTGCATAGGGCAAGGCCCTTTGTTACTTCTGACATTTCTATGGAATGAAATCACATTTCTTATTCTATTTAAAATTAATGAAGGTGCACAACACATGTTTAACACTGACATATCACCCACAGTAAATTGACACCCACCAAAAAAGCAAACAAATAGAGCAGGCAAAACCAACTCCACATAGCCAGATAAGTTATGGCTGTGTACTAATCCTGCTTGTATTGCCAGTCATGACAGGGACCTCAAGGTATTAGAAATGCTCTCAGGTAAATTTGTCTTCCTCACTGCAAATGATAGTCCCATTTCTTCAATGATAATGAATAATATTAATCATGTGACTTTTGAGTTCATTATTTTTATAGTGTTCTGTCTCATATAGCCCACAAGGGGCGCGTCCGGATGAGCCCACATGTGCCTCTTGCAGCATCTCCAGCCCTTTGAGATGTTGCAAGAGGCACATGCAGACACAGGAAAAGGTTCCCCCTGCTGCAAGTTTGCGGCACAGGGAAAAAATTAGACCTCTGAATATCCAGGGGTCTAAAAAAATAATGGAGTTAAAAAAAGTGGGGCAGGGCATGGTACCAGACTGTGCCCTGAGGGAACCAGGCGCTGGGTCCTCCACAGAGACACTCTGGCTGCCAGAGCGTTTCTGTGGTTGGCCCTCGCCCTGGTGCTGAAGCAGCAGGGCTCCAGTGCTGGTAAGGGGTTGGGGGGGGCTGGAAGAGCGGTGAGGGGACTATGGGGGGGATCCCTGCTGGCCCCGCCTACTCCCTCAGCCCTCCCAGTCCAGACCTGCCTGACCCCATCCCCCGCCTGCCCCCCAAACACCCCTGATCCCTTTCTGCTCAGCCCCCCCCACTTGCCCCCCAGGCCTTGCCGATCCCTTTCCTGCCTGGCCCCCAAATCCCTGCTCTGCCTGGCCCCACCCCTTGCCTGCCCACAAGCCACCCCGATCCCTTTCCT